TGTTATAAAATATTAAATTAAAATTGAAATTAAGTTAAAATGAGTGAGTAATAGCAAAATAAAATCAACTTACTACTCGAATTTGTGTTTGATATCGATTTGCTAAATTATGTAAATTGAATCGATCGGTGAACTGAATTTCATCAATACATCTCCCACGATCTTTCTTATTTAAAATTATCAAAAATGGTTTATTCATTAAATCCTCATCACTAATTACATCTTTTAGCAATTGACCACTCTCTTCGATACGATCTTCATCGCTTCCATCAATAATATAAATTACACCAAATACCTAAAAAAACGTAAAATAAAATTTTAACGTTAAACTAATTTGAAACATCTAATTTTCTTAATTTAATTTAATTTCCTTTAATCCCCAAAACAATTTAATAGTTGCAAACTTTTTTCTTTCAAATTAAATAAACAAAAAACACAAAAAGAAAATAGATTGAAAAGAAAAATTGATAACATATTTTTTCAATTAATCAATTGCTAATTTATGCATATTTTCAATTTTCTTAATTTAATTTCCATTACTTTTAAAGACAATTTAACATTTACAAATATTTTTTCAAATTAAAAGAAAAAAAAAAACAAAAACGAAATGGAATGAGAATAAAAATTGATAATATACTTTTTAATTAACCTATTGGTAAATTATTTATACCTCAGGATAATAATTTTTCCATATCGAACGTATCCGTTCACCACCACCCAAATCATATGCAATAATTTCAGCTTTTCGATATCTAAATTCGTGTAACGTGAAACCATTCGTAGGTAAAACATTATTTATTTCACCTGTAAACAAGTGATAATTTCACAGTTAACTATTATCATTATCATTATTATTATTATTATTATTATTATTATTATCATTATTGTTATTATTATTGTTATTATTATTATTGTTATTATTATTATTATTATTATTATTATTATTATTATTATTATTGTTATTATTATTATTATTATTATTATTATTGTTATTATTATTATTATTATTATTATTATTATTATTATTATTATTATTATTATTATTATTATTATTATTATTATTATTATTATTATTATTATTATCATATTTGATATTTAATGTAATAATCAATTAAAATCATTCTAATGTCATTTCAAGATTAATATATCATTGACATCATTATTCACAAATTTTAATTTATTAATTAAAAAAGGACAAAATTATTAGAAATTCTGCACGCACACAAGAAAAAAATGAAATGTAAAATAAAATAAATAAATAATCTATGAATAATAAATAAAATTCACAAATTATACGTAATCTTTTTTTGGTCAAATTTAAATTTAAAATAATTTTAATAATTTTTTTTTTATTCTAAATAAAAAGCAAAACAAAAAAAAAGTGTAATAACCTGAAGCTAATGCACATATAGCTGTTGATTTCCCTGCACCATCTATACCCAAAATGCAAATTCGTATTTTTCTAAATTTATAATCTTTAAAATGAAATCATACCAATACTATTTTTCTAAATTTATAATCATGAAAATAAAGATCCATGCCAATATTATTTATTTTTTTTAAATTTATAATCATGAAAATAAAGATACATGTCAATATTATTTTTTTTTTAAATTTATAATCATGAAAATAAAGATACATGCCATATTTAATACAAAAATATTTAACTCATAAATAATTCCTACATACATATTTATATTTATGTGTAAAAAAAAAAAAAAATTGCTGTTTTTTTTTTTTTTCAAAAACACGAAATTAGAAATGGAAATGAAAAAATGTTTACCTAACTTTTTTGTGGTGTAATTTTCTTTTATTCTCCTTAAAACCACCAACACAATTGCCCATATACTAATAAGCAAAATTATCAAATGGAACAAAAATTTATTTTCATTCAATCATACAATAAAATATGGATTAAAGAAGAAAAAGCAAACAGAGGAGACCAAAATTGATTGTCATAGCAACGCTTCAACTGCATTATCATTTTACCTTTCTACTCATTTACCTATCTATCATTATTTGTTGACAAATCTATTGTGTATGTGTTTGAATTAATTTTTTGTGAAAATTTATTTATTATTTATATATTTATTTTTTGGTATGATATAAAAAATTATTTATTTATTTTTTTAGATTATTTTATTTACTTATTGTATTGTAAATTTCATTTTGTTTTGTCCAAAAATTTCTTATAAATTTATTAATTTTTAAACAACAATCAATAGTGATTGTGATGTGATATAAAGATTCTATTTAGCATTGACCAATTGATCGATCGATTAGTTCGATAGTTTTATTTTTTTGTCATAATAAATAATACAAATTCTTATCATTGGCAGGAATAAAGTACTATTGAGAAAAAAAGAATTGATTACATTCTTGTGAATGATTAACTGATAAGCGATGATGAATTTCTAACAAAAATTTGAACCAAATTCATAATATTGAAATTTTTATTATTAATCATTTGTTATCTATTATTTATTAGATTTATTATTAGTTTGTTTATTATTTGTCTATTTTACGTTGTTTGCTAGTTATTATTGATTTATTACTATCATTACTATTATTATTATTATTATTATTATTATTATTATTATTATTATTATTATCATTATTATTATTATTAATGATAGTATTTTTTTATTATTGATATTATTTTTCTATACTTTTTTCTCATTTTTACTTTAATAATTTCAATCATTCATATTATCGGAAACTTTGTTTATGGTTAATAGCGCGCAACATTTTCATCGGTAATGACTTTTCTGATTATCATTATCACTGAAATCATGATAACATCATTTAATCTCTCATATTTTTGGATCATTCCAAGATTTTGAAAAGCTTCAAAAGTTTGAAATTCACTATATTATGTTTGTTTATATCTCATCTCTTCAATTTAAAAGGAAAAGAAAAGGAAAAAAATGAAATAGCAAAATGAGAAAGATTCAATTTAGGGAATAAAAATTCTTTATTCCAAACTGATGAGTTAAATTAAAGTTAAATAAATTAGATTTGATAAATTAAATAACTAAATGAAAAAAGTGACACAATTTCTTCTTTAATCATTTTAGAAATAAACTTTGACAGACTAATTAATCGATTAATCAATATTATTTATCAATATCAGTAATATCCCTTTAGATGTTTATCAAAACAATTCGATTTTTTCCTTTATTAATTTGTTTGTTTTTTTTTTTTGCTCTATGATCTTTCGAAATGTATTTTGACCTTTTACAATGCCTGTGACCTTTTGAATTTTACATACCAAAAAAAAAAGAAACAATTAATTGGATCATTCTGAGCTTCCGAATAAAATAGATCAAAAATCTGTAAACTACAAATTATTCACTCAATTTTGATAAGAAAGCAAACTTCCATTACCGTTTTTTTTTTTTTTTTCAATAAATATTATCGTAGTTCAAAGATTTAAAAGAAAGACTCAATGAATTTTTGTGAAATTTTGTTTCTCTTTAATTAAATATTTAAATTTTTTCAAATTCTTTTTTTTTTCTGATAGAATTTGAAATTACTTTTCGTTGTTAATTAATCGATGAATAAAAATTTGAACATTTAGTCAAAATATACTTTTTTTTTCATCGTTTCACAAAAAAAAAAAGCTCACAATAGCAAAAAATAACAGCAATTGATATTAGCCATCGTTGGCGATAGAAATAATGAAATAATTAAATAAGAAAAAAAAAATATTTTCCTTTTTCTAATCATCAATGTATATACAACAGTTCATTAATTAATTAATTAATTAATTAATTAGCTAAAATAAAGAAAGGAAGAGGGAAAGAGTAAAGAAAAGAGCAATATTTTCGATGCAGGAAAAAAGAAGAAAAAAAGAAAAAGTATCAATTTTACGATTTCACAAATAGCAGTAGCATACAATGATGACAATCATAATTATCATGATAGCGATAATAATAGTAATAATAGCAACAATAATAATATAGTGACAATGATAAAATGATACAGCATAAAGCAAATTAAGCCTACATTCTTTCATATGGGAAAAATAATCGTGATAATAATGATAAGAATAGACTGATAATAATAATAAAAATAAATTGTATAGTTATTATCACTATTTTTATCAATCATATATAATATAAAAACTAATATCACATAATGTGATGGAGAAACAACTTAATATTATCAAACTTTTTCCATGCAAAAAAATAAAAGAAGAAAAATGCTAAAGATAAAAGTAAAAAAAAAAGGAAAAATTTTTTGAGAAGACACAATTAGATGAAGGCGATTTTCATTAAAATATTTTACAGCAAAAAAAAAAAGAAATTAAACTTTTCAAATTTAGGTTCGCACAGAAAAAAATGCATACAAAGCATATAAAAAATAGCATTATGCTTTCATTTATCCTTTTTATAAATAATAGAAAATGAAAGAATTTATTTAAATTTAAAATACAATTAACTCTCTATTGTAGTTTTTGCAAAATTTTACAATAAATTCAAATGTTTTATGAATTATCAAAAAAAATATTCGTAATGCAATTAAATTTCAATTCAATTTTTTCTACATTTGAAATTTATTTATTTCAAAAAAAAAAATTTAATGAAATTTTCCATTCCGTATGTACAGTGAAAATTTTAGTTATCAAAAATAAAATAAAAATATCAAGCAAAAACTAAAAAAAAAGGAGGAGAGGAAGAGAAAGAGAAAATTAAACTAATGTAAACTTTTCATATACATTGAAATGATGGAATGCAGCTAATTTCTGAAAAAAAAGGGGGAGAGAGAGAGAGAGAGAGAGGGAGAGAGAAAAAACAATGAAAATTGATGTATTACTTTTCATTTTCAAAATTTTTGCAATTTTCTTTATTTGCAAAAAAATCTATTTGTTTTGTGAAAATTCAAAAACGAAGGAAAAAAAAATTAAACAATAAAATTAAAAATTTAAATGTTCGTAATAAAAATAAGAGGAAATTATGAGGAAATATGAAAAATGAAAACAAAATTTGAAATTTATTTTATCTGCGTCCCATCATAACTTTAGTGATAAAGTTTACAACAGCTGTAGCCGGTTGTTCCGGTTCTAATTCCGCAAAAATATGGCATGTATTATCCGTTCTGGAGCCTATCTTACGTGCGACAAATGCAAACATTCGAGCATTTTTGACGTATTTTGTCACGCTACCTTCCAGGTATGAATTATCCCACCTGTAAAGTAATTATTGTAATAATTGCGCAACGGAAAGTACTAAATAAAAAACAAAAAAAAAAGGAAATAAAAAGAATAAAATTCAAATAATTAACTCATTTCCACGAACAAATGTATTATTTAAAAAATATAAATATTAAATATATAGAAATGATAATAAAATTGATGAAAACTAAATTAAATCAATTAATTTTAATTTTTGATAAACCAATAAAAATCGATTGTAAGTCAATTTCACTAATGCATTAATATGCAAATAAAAACTAGCATAATGATAAAATGATAGCGCAAATTTACGACATATTGATTTCAAGTATTAAATTTAAATTTCATACCTCCGATCAGAAGGATCCAAACCTGCGTATGTAACGGATTGTACAGGATAATGTCGCCTAAAGAAAAGTCGCCTTGTGTTATCCGTTATTGTGATACCTTGAGATGACACCTGCAACAATATAAGGTAATGTAAGACAACCAATAAATCTTATAAAGCATCAGTATAGGATTAATAATAGTAATAATAATAATATTTTATTCATATGCTAAGAAAGAAAAACTAAAATAATTGCATTATTATTATTATCATTTCACTGCTATGTTTAATTAAGCTAATTAAATTTATGATAATCTAATTAAATTCAAAAATTTCCTTAACATAAAAAGTACGTAAAATTTTCTATAGAAAGTAATATAAAAAGTGAAATTTTCTACTTGAGAAAGTAGAAAATACTTTATTTACATGAGTAAATAAAATAACTATGACAAAATTAAGTTCGAAAGACAGGAAGTCAAAAAAATAATTGAATATTTTTTTTGGATCTATTTTTACTTTTTTCTCTCCCTTTTCATCCTCCTTTCTTCCAGTCTTTTTTTTCAAATTGCCGTTTTTCTACAATAAGTGGAAAATATTAAAAATTATTCGATTTCTAATTAAATAAATTGAAATAATAATAATAATATCAATAATAATAAACTGAAATTAAATTATCATCAAGATATACTAATTTTGACATGAAATAAATTAAATTATTTGTTACGATTTGTTTATTTTGATATGAAATAGTATGGAAAAATTAAATAACGAATTATTCATCAATTTTTTTGATGAAACATACTAATAAAAAAATAAATATGTGAAGAAAAAAAAATACAAATTAATTAATTTTTAAAAGAAATCTGATCTGTTTAAATCATTTCATTTAATTACTATATATTTATTATTATTATTAAATAATTGGAAGAAAATATTCATAATTTTAACCATTAGATAATTAATATTATTAATAGATCCATCAAATCTTAGAATTCCTAAATATTGGCACTGAATTATATAATATTTTAAAATCATATTTAAATGTATATCAAAAATTTTACACATTAACTGAATTAACTGAACAATTAATATATTGAGAAATAATATTAATAAATTCAATTAATGCTAAATAAAATTGTTAAATTAAAATATGCCATTAAAGAAATTAAAATGATCTAATAAAATGACCATGAACTATTCCGATGAACTCATTAATGATAACTATAAATGAAGTAAACATATTTAGTGCTTTTAATTTTGAAATTTACTAAGAATAATTTATCAAATACTAATTGATTTATCAATTATTATTAATTAGAAAATTAAAAATTAATAGTTAAAAAAGGAAGAAGAAAAATCCAATCATTATTTTATCCTAAAAAAAAGCATTGAATTGAAAATATTAAAATGGATTAAAATTTTTTAAAATTTCTATATGCTAATTAAAATTATTCATATGAAAAAAAAAAGAAAAAAAGGACATTGTTCTTATCATAATTTTTCATTCAACTTTATAACACGTGAAAGTCTAAAATGATTACGTATGATCACGTGCGTGAAAAGTTGACAGATGAGAAAGTGAATAATTACACAATGCTTAAATATTTTAAAATACTTTCATCTAAGCTAATTTTCCAATTTTCTGATTCTTCGATTTTATTTTATACTTTTTATTGTATATTAAAACAAAAAAAAAAAAAAAACGAAAGAAAAGCTAAAGCTAAGATATATCTTAAATTTTATTTACAATATATCATAAATCGTTTATTTTTATATGAAATTAAAGAAAAAATATAAAAATAATGTAAAATTACTTTTCAAAATATTATAAATTAATAAGTTATGCTGAAAATATTTTTATTCATTTAAGAAATGAAAAAAAATAAACAAATAAGTGTAAATGTTCTTTTTTTTTGTTGATAGATTTAAATTTGTAAAATGTTAGAAGTTTAGAAATATTTAACAAATTTTATAAATCGTTTAAAATTTTTGATAATAATTTTATTTGCATTAACAACAATTATTTTCAATAATGAAATCTAAGCTTAATATTGATTGATTGGTTAGTAATATTCGTTGACTGATTGACTGATTGATTGGTTATTATAAAATTATCATAAAATTTGTTTAATGAATTTCTATTTAATGAATTTCTTTTTTTTACAAATACAAATATAAGAAAAATATATATTAATTACTTACTTTAACAAATATAAATTACTAATTATTACTTACTTTAAAATAAAAAAGTATTACTTATTTACCTTAAAATGTACTGAAACAGGTTGAATCATTTTTTGTTTGAGAAGATCAAATGTTTGATCAATACAACGTCGAGCAGCTTCCGGTCCGGTTAATGATTCGGTATCCAATGAAATAATATATGTTACATTGCAAGCTGTAAAATTTTAACTTTTTAATTTTAAAAAAATCAAAAAATTTTTGAGTAAAATTTTTATTGAATTTTTTTTTCCATTACTGAGAATACAGAAAAAATAAATAACCAAATAAAAAAGTGGATAAAAGTGTGTATAAGAAAATATTAAAATTGAACAGTAAGAATACTAACTTAAATTTTATCAAACTTTTGAATTAATTACTTAAAAATGAATGAAAAAAAGAAAGCAAAAAAAAAATTTTTTTTCTTTTTTGCAACTTTAATTTTTCATTTTTTTATTAATGAAAATATATTTCACAAAATTACTATAAATAAGTTCATTTTTTGTTTAATTTATAGTAAATCTATGATATATTTAAAATAATAAATAAATTTAAAAAAAAGAACATCACAAATCAATTTATTAACTTTTTGTTTTTATACTTTTAACTATATTTACTTATATATAAAGTATGATTAATGGAAAAAAATCAGAAATTGATATTTGGAATATTTTTTATTAAACTGAACTTTTTTTTTTTGAAGAAATTTAGTTTTCCTTTTGTTTCTTTTCTTTTCTGAATATAAATAATGTGCAAGAAAATAAAAAGAAATGAAATACATAAATACTAAATTGATGTTATATATTCAAAATGAAATAACAAACCAGCTCCCTGTTGTAAAAGTTGTTGTGCAGCAGAAATATGTTCCGGTGTATTTGCCGGATCGTATTCCGGTAGCAATAATTTAGTTGGTAGCGCAAGTGGTATTATTGAATGTTGGTATACAAGTGCGGATAAGGTACCAAATACTGGTTCATTATTACAACCCTTTAATTTGACACCTTTTGGTGATGGTTCAATGAGAAAATGACGTACCAATTCGGTACCATCACCTAAAATTAGTAATTTCATGTTTTCTTTTTTTTTTTTTTAAAAAAAGAAAAGAATCTATTTAATTTTTTTTTGAAAAAGAAGAATTAACAATAATTATAGTTATAATAAATCAATAATAATATTTGATTACGAATAATCAAAATAATGCAAACCTAACTTAATTACAAATTAAATGCTATATATTATAAGAAAGCAAAAAAAAATTAATAAAAACTTTTTATCTTAATTTTTTTTTTATGATTATTATTTGATTGACTAAAAAAAAATTTCAACCATTCTAACTTTTATAAATTACTTTATTTATAAATTACTAGTGATAAATATTCGAGAATCAAGTATTATTACTGATTATTATAGCAATAATTACTATTATTATAGCTAATTCCTTTTTATCAATAATCGAAGGTAAGTCAATGATTAAAGGTAATTATTAATTAATGATATCAATGTGCATAAATAGTAATTACTTAAAGATAAATTAGTAATATTGATACTACGAGAAAAATAAGGATAATTTGATTCAATAAAAATTTCGTGATAGAAAAAAAGCTAATAAGAAAAATTCAAAAGTTCACTGAAGAAATAGTATTTTAGTGTAATTTCCTAAATACAAAAAAAAGAGAAAAGAAACATAAAAACTAATTTTAAAAATTAAAATCTATTTCAAAATTTAAAATTAAATTAATTTCTTCATCCAAATTTGAAGAAATAATAATAATAATGAACATAATGACTTATCATTCAAATTTTATTAAATTATTTTATTAAAGAAATAAATTATATCAATTTATTAAATTTTTTTTTTCGTCTTATTGTTTATTTTCTTTTAAATATGGTAAAATTAAATTGAGAGAAAAATAAATTATACCAGGATGAACACCAGGTGGCGGTGTTGCAACTTTTAGCGCTAAACCAAATGCACCCGGAAAACTGTTACTGTCCCGTACAACAAACGTACCCGGTGGTTTATCCCTGAGCATGTTTACAGCTGTAAATATAATTTAGTAATCTAAAATAATCCAATAACTGTAATTTGAAAATTTTATTTATTCAAAAAATAAACAAAATGTTAGTCAGATGTGTACGTATATGTAAACTACGATAATAATAATACATAAGAATGCATTATAATTTAATAAATATTTTCAAATTAAATTACAATATAAATTGTAAACAAAATAAAAATTTTCAAATTTTTGAAAAACTCAAAAGACAATTTCATATAAAAAAAAAAACTAAAAGAAAAAAATGAATGATAATTTTAAAGTGAAAAAAAAAAAACTTTCTAACCATCTTCCCTTGATATTGTTGGCTTATACCAATATTTTGATGTATTTTTCACAAATAATGGATGATGATGAATTACTTCACCCAAATCTGTAAATAAAACAAAACGAATGATATGATCTTATCATATCATTGAAATATTAGTAATCATATATTTTATACAACGATTATATTTTTAAAATTAATTGAAATAAATGGAATTTTCTTTTTCTACAAAAAATTCAAATTCTTTAACAAAAATATAAATTTCGTTTTTTTTTTTTTTTCATCTTTCTTAAAAAGAAATACAAAATTTAAAATTGAGGTAAATATAAATAAATGAAAAATATTTTTTTTTTTAAAAAAAAAAAAGAAAAACATGAAAGAAAAAAAAAAGAAAATGAAAATTTAAAATTGAAATGAATATGAATGAATGAAAAAAATTATTTTTAAATAGAAATTAAATTAGAATAAAATTTGATATATAAATTTAAACGTCAAATTTGTTAAGATTTTTGCAACATATGAGTGTGATAAGCATAAAACGATTAGGTGGAAAATTTTAATATTAATTGACAAAAAAAAAAAAAAATTGCTGAAGAAAAAAAAAAAGGTAAAGTAATGAATGAATGAATTTGATTAGTAAATTAATTTGATAAGTAAATTAGCATACAAATGATATGATATTACTATTGTTTATTGATAATCACTGTAAAATATTATCACTATTAAAATCTGTTTATTGATATACTTTTACTGATAACATTGTATATACTTTAAATGATACTTTTACTTTATATATACTTTTACTAATATATTATTATCATTTCTATCATCTTTTTTTTTCTTTTCATATTTGCATAATTGATAAATGTTTAATTATATATACACAAATAATAATAATAATAATAAAAAAACTATCACTGTACATATGTTAAATTAAAATATTCAAAGTAAAACAATTCAAAGAAAAAAAGAAAAAATTTAATTTTAATTTAATTAAAATTAACTCACTTAATGTTTTGTTATTATAAGTAATTTTTGTTTGATGATTCCGAAATGTCGTATTGTATGTTGATTGTTTACCATCATTTTGATTATCATTATCAAATGAATGTTGCATATTAATTGTAGCATTTTTCCAACTATCATTAGCACCGGGTGGACTTTCTGACACTGTTCTAACACTTGCATGATCTGGACTTTTTGACATAAATCGATTTGTATTAGATTTTAAATTAATCATTAAGCTAGCATCATCTTCATCACAATTTTTTATCATTAGTGAGGTGCTTTTATCAATTGATAATTCATTGATATTCGTTGCTAAATTCATTATCATCTTCTTTTCTTCTTTTTCTTCGCCTTTTCCTTCTTCTTCTTCTTTCTTTTCTCCTTCTCTTTTATGAAATTTCGAATTCTTTCCAATTTCTTCCTCATCATTGATTTCAATATTTTGAGTATCAGTTGAAGTAATCCATACATTTACTACTTCATTATCAATAATTTGACCTTTACTCTTAGCAATTATCATATCACTTTCAATTGTTTCATCATTTATCATACCTTTTTGTTTTTCATCATTTTCAATTTTATCATTCGTTTTGTTGTTTGTTTGTTGCTTAATTTCATTGTCATTAGTAGCATTTTGTGATAATTTCGCAGCATCACAATTGTCCAAAGTTTGTTCATCCATTTGAACATCAAATTTAACAATCATAGAATTTGTATTTTTTAAAATACACTCTGATCCATCATTATCATCATTTGTTGAGCAGAAATTTTCATCATTCGCATAAATTGATTTGCAATTTTGAAGTGAATTGGAAATTTCCAATAATTTTGCTTCCACTTTTGGTAATGATATTACATCAACATCATTACCATTATTATTATCATAATTATCACCATTGTTATCACCAACATCATTATCATCATTCGCATAAATTGATTTGCAATTTTGAAGTGAATTGGAAATTTCCAATAATTTTGCTTCCACTTTTGGTAATGATATTACATCAACATCATTACCATTATTATTATCATAATTATCACCATTGTTATCACCAACATCATCATCATCCAGTGGTAGTGATGGTGGTAAATTATTTGAAATTGTTAAAGTTGTTGATGGTGATGCTGAACTTGTTTGTGATTCGGACATTCACTGATGAAAAATTTGTGAAGAATATCTTCTTTCTCAAATGCCTAACAAAAATTTATAAATTTCATTTTTATAAAAAAATTCACTATCTCAAGAAAAGAAAAAAAAAAACAAGAATGAGAGAAAGAAACGAGAAAAAGAAGAAAAAATTAATTTTAATTTTTAATTAAAATTAATTATAATACAAACATTTTCATCGTATATCATTTTTACAAAAAGTAAATCAATTTATAAGTCATTACTTAATTTTAATTTAATTTTAATAAAAGAAACTAATTTGAAAAAAAAAATCGATTAGACAATAACTTTTTTTTTTTAATAGAAAAAGATGAATGAATGATAACAAAAAACATTTACTAAAATATAATATAAAATGAAATTAGTAATTCTATTAATTTTTAATTAGAAAATCATCAAAATGCCAATCGTATCGGTTGTAAACAATTTTCTGTAATATTGCTGAAAGGTAAAAGAAGAGCAATAATATGTGACATTAATGTGACATTACTGTTACGAATTACAAATTTGATCAAAATTCATAGCAATTCTAAAATATATGTGTAATAGAATAGTAATTGTATAGTTGTTGTAATAATTAAAATTTTAATTTTTATTTTAATAAAATTGCAGAAAAAAAGAGAGAGAGAGAGATCTAAAAAGAAATCTTTTTTCATTCATTAAATTAAATTGAAAATAATTTTTATTAAAATTTAGAACTAATTTTATCATCTAAAAATAGAAAAGCTTTGGAAAAAAAAAGAGATGAAAAATTAAAATAGAATGAAAATGATAGATTAATTAGAAATAGAATGGAATTTTTCTTTTCGTTTCTTTTTTTTTCAGAATAATAAATTGATAAAAGAATAAATAATGCATAGAAAAATGAGAAATGAGAAAGAAAAAGATCATTTTATAATTGAATTTAAGAAATAAAAATAAAAGGAATGAAAAAATGATTAAATTACGAATAATAATTAATAGAATTTACTTAATTGTTAACAAATTCAATGAAAATATTTGGAATGTACACAAAAAAGAAAAAAATTTTTTTTTTTTTGTTAAATTTATTATTTGATAAAGAGGAATGAAGAAGAAAAAGGAATCGATTGATAAAATTGATAATATTGATATATAAATGTATAATTCGTTTTTTTTTTTTTTTAAATTTATTGATATATAAATATATTTTGCATTTTTTTTCGATTTATTAATATAAATATATTTTGTTTTTTTAAAATTAATGATAACTTATATGAAAAATGAAAAAGAAAAAATAAATAAAATACTATAAACAATTAATACTATTATTAATTTTAGCTAGTTAACTGAAAATAAAAATTATTCATTAATACATACATATGATAATAAATGAAGATGATAGGATAACTGGTAAATTAATAAGTGAAAATGATAGAATAATTGATAAATTAATGAATGAAAATAATAGAATAATTGATAAATTAATAAATGAAAATGATAGAATAATCGATAAATTAATAAATGATAATTAACAAATAAAAGTGATAGAATAATTGATAAATTAATAAATAAAAATAGTTGAATAACTGATAATATAATATGTTGAAAATAATAATAATAATAATAATAAGATGAAGAAAGAAAAAAAAATAAGAAAAAAGGAATTTAAAATGAGAAAGTTTAAAGGAATGAAAATTTGATATGAAATAGAAGAAATGTGTCAGCTGCTTTTCAGCTTTCAAATTTACAATGAAATGAGGAAAATGAATGCCTTAACTATCATTCATCTGTTCCATTCATCCACTGATTTCAATTTAACTAAATCATTCATTTTACTATTACTATTGCTATCAGTGAATCAATAAGCCATCGCAGTGATAAGAATGATAATCAAATATATAAAGAGAGAGAGAGAGAGAGGGAGAGAGGGAGAGGAGAAGAATGAAGGATGAGAAATTAGATTAGAGAAGAAATAAAATAACAAAAAATATATATATTGATATAAGAAATGAAGATTAGGAAGAAAGAGAGAGAGAGAGAGGGAAAAAAGATATAAGAGACAAGAAGATAGAGAGAGAAAGAAGGGAATTAAAAATAGTAATGAATGATTGATTGTTATTGATGATAATAATTGGTAATAATAATAGTAAATGTTAATCAGATTAGAAAAAATATATATGCAAAAATATCTTTAAAATAAAAAAAATAAGAGAGAAAGAGAGGGAGAAAAAGGGAGAGAGAAGAAGAAAAAGGTGGAAAAAAGATAATGATTGATATTATTGATGATAATAATAATGATAATAACAACAATACTGATGATAATTATTTCCTTATCATTGATAAGGAAATAAAAGAAGGACAAGAATAAAAAATAAATTAAAATGTATATCTATTAATAAAAATGAAGATATTTTGATAAGATGATAATAATGATAATGATAAATATGATGCAATGTTTAATACACAATTCTTCTTTTAAGTTTAAAAGATTTTAATTAACAACAACAACAACAACAACAACATTTCTTCTTCATTCACGTAAAATTTACTATCATCATTATCATTATCACAACTATCAATTAATCCTATTCATTTCCACTCAAAATCAAATGTTAAAATACATAATGCAAAACTTTAATTATATTAAAAGTTTAAAAAAAAACGTGATCTACGTGATACAATTTGTTGTTAAAGTTGTAGTACGCATTAAAAAAAAAGGTTATACGCAGGAGAAAAAATAGCAAAATGAAATGAAATTCGATGTTATTAATAAATATAATACGATAATGCATTTATTACGTAGATACTTTAAAAGTTTATAAATGTTAAGGTAATACTTTCAAAAAAGAAAAGTAAATAATGAGAAATTTTTAGAAAGAAATTTGATTGAATTATATGTAAAATATATAAATGATATGATTAAGATAAGTGTAATGATATGAAATTATATATTATAAAGAAATTACAAATGATAATATAATTATGTTAAAAGGCTATTAAAAAAATTTTTTTTACAAATTTCTGCTAAAAATAGTGGATGAATTGTTTATTATTTAAAAAATTTATTTAATAAAAAGTTTGAACTTAGTAATATGATGAATAGTAATAAACAAAAATTAAATAAACCTAATTCAGTAGCATATTTTCAGCTATAAAGCAGAAAGCGGAAAAGTGACATTTACGCATCAATGAATTAATTCAATAATATGCAACACCTAAACTATTTTATTCACAATCATTTGAATTTTAAACAAATGTTACTAGGTGACAAAGTTACCGGAAGCAGTAGTATTTGCATTTTAGATATCACTTCTCTTTCTTTCTTTCTTCCTCTCTCTCTCTCTCTCTCTCTCTTTAATTTATGTTTCGCCTCTAATATTTTGCTTTTAATTTTAACCATTAAAAATTTTAATTATTTCAGAATTTTTTTTTCAAACAAATAGAAGGGAGGAAAAAAAATGTGAAATGAAACAAATTTATGGATATAATATAAATGAAAAATATAAAATCTTTTAATTTTCCAATTTAGAAAAAAAAGAAAGAAAAAAATTAAAAAGGAAAATAAACAAAAACAAAACTAAAAGTATTTTGAAATTCTTGAATTTCAAAATGATCCATAAAGTAATCAACTCCCTATCATATCAATTTTCATAAAAAGGAAAAATTTGAAAAAGTGAAGAAGAAAACAATGAAGAAATCAAAGATCAAAACGGAGAATATAGGAAATTTAAAAAGAAAAAGAATTCTTTTTTTTTTTGAAAACAAATAGAAAAAAGACAAAAGAAAAGAAAAAATTATTAATAATGAAATGAATGATAAATGATTAGTTAATAAGTAAACAAATAGATAAATAAACATGTAAACAAATAAATAAATAAAGTACTAATCAATGTTAAAACAAACATTTAATAAAAGAAATTAAATATGTCATTAGAAAGTTCATATAGTATAATAGCAAGTTAAAATTTTTGATTAGTATTAAACGAATTGAATGAGTCATATTATCATTTTTTATTTGTTAATGACTTAAAAGTTTTTTGATGATATGTAAATTTTTATTTAAAAATAAAAAAAAAATACTCCAATCCTAACAAAATTTTAAGACTAAATTAACTGGTTAATTAATTAATTTATATTTTGATAATAATATTAAGTCTTAAAATTTCCATATCATTCATATTACTAAGAAAAAACTAAAATTTATACTAATTATTTTATTAATGTATTTTAAAAAATAATAATTGAAAAAATCTTTAATTCATATTACATCAAAAAGACATTATTGATTAACACTAATTCTGTTCAAGATTAAAAATATTAAATTTTTTTTAAGTAAACACATTATTTTATTAATGATTTACTTGATTAATTTATTTCGAAGTACCATATGAGAATGATAATAATAAGTTTTTGAAAGTAATCAGAAATCAACAAAATTGACTAAATATTTAATTCATATTTATTACATTAAAGTTAAGATTAAATTAATTAGCTAATTAATTAATTTATAAATTTTATCTCTAAATAGTTAATTAATTAATTCATAATTTTTACTCTAAACAGCTAATTAAATAATTAATTTGTGATTTTTACTCTAAACAGCTAATTAAATAATTAATTTGTGATTTTTACTCTAAACAGCTAATTAATTAATCTATAATTTTTCCTCCAAATAATCCCTTATTAGCAACAGTTAAACTTGTGAAATTGAAACAGTAATGATAAAAATGATAATTGACGTAAAACAATAATTTTGTTATCTAAATTCTAAATGCTATTAATTAATTGATGAATTAATTTAATTCCATAAATTATCTTTAATTATTAATTAATTATATTTAAATGAATTAAAATTTAAACCCTTACAAAAAAATTACTTTTTAATTGAAAAAGAAATAAAAGAGCGCTATGAAAACTAGCGCCAAATAATCATTTTTATCTTAGCATTATCAAAAGTGCATTCTTTATAAAAAGGGAAACAAACAGAGAGGGAGAGAGAGAGGGAGAGAGGGAGAGAGAGAGGGAGAGGGGGAGAGAGAGAAAAGAGAAGAGAAGAGATAATGCACCTTGAATCATCCATATTAAACATTTTTTTTTTTTTAAAGATTTATTTTTATCCAATCAAATTGAACAACAAAATTTATGAATCGTACAAATTCTTAGCTAATACAAATAATAATGATAGGAATGTTTTGAAAATTATCAAATTCAGAAAATAGATTTCTTATAAAATAAATTAATTATTTAATTATAATCCTAAAATTTAATTAAAGTTTATGCTTGAAAAATAACTGTTAATACCTGTATGATATTTAATATAAATTCTTAAATAGAAATAATCAGTTTAATCTATGCTAAAATATAAACCAAAGATATTTTGTATTTTTTATTTATTTATTTTATTTTTTTTGGATATAATAAAAAGATAATGTTTACATTATAAAGAAATCTCGAAAAATAAATAAATGAATGTATTATATAAGTAATAATGTATAAATCAGAAATCATAACAAAAAGTCGGAATTGTATTACGGAACTGAAAAAAAAATGTTAGATAGAACATTGCAAAAAATAAAAATAAAAATAAAAAACAAAATAAAAGACAAAACAAAACGAAAAAAAAAATAAAAGGAAAAAAGTTAACAAAAAAAGTAAGTTTCAAAAAAAAGAGAAAAGAAATTCAATATTAGAATGGTTTAGTTTAAAATTAAATAAATTAAAAAATTTAAATTTAATAATTGAATGATAACAGAAAATATAAATGAATATACCAGTTGAAGAAATTGATGTACGATGACTTTGTGCATAATAAATAGAACGTGGTGATGAAGACCTAGAAAAATATTTTTTTTTTAAATTAAATTTTAAATAATTTAAAAAAATGAAGGAAAAAAAAACAACAATTACCATATATGATTGAATACCACTAATGAAATTCAAATGATTATAATTATGTTTGGAAAAGAAAAAAATGAGAACAATTAATTTTTACACACCTAAAATTTGAAATTGAATAAAATGAAAGAAAAAATGAATTTAGGAATCAAAAAAAGAGACATCTGAATTTTCATTATTTTACTTAAAAAAAAAGTTTAATTCAAAGATTTGTTTTTTAAATATGAAAAAAAAATTTGTTATTTTAATAGCACTAACTTTTATATATCTGTTTATTATGTTTATTAATTATTATATAGCAATGATCATTTATCACTTATAATTTTATAACTAATACTTTAAAAAATTTAAAAAAAAATCAACACTTATCATATATGATTTAATATTACTAATAAATAACTTTTACAATTATAACTTTTGAAGAAAATAATTAATTTTTGCATATTTAAAATTTGAAATTGAATAAAATGAAAGAAAAGATGAATTTAAGAATTAAAATAAATTAAATATTTAAAGTATCAGTGATAATGATAACCTATAAGTGATATTATTGATTGGTTGCATTGGTGGTATCACATCTTTTGCACCTTCAAATAAAAGCGGATGATATGGTTGCGGTGTTTCACGACGTACCGGAAATGCTGGTGTTGCAGCTCGATTGGATGATGGAGCTAATGACCAGTCCTTAAAATTAAACCACAACGATTACGAATTTATTATAAATTCAAAAGGTTATAATTTTAATTTGATAAAAATTTTAAATTTCATAATTTTGATTTATCAAATTAATTTCTTTCTTTCTTTTTTTTTGAAAAATATCTTTGTTTAGTAATATTTAAAGTGTAAATCCAATATGAATGCATTTGGTGTTAAACTAAAATTACTACAAAGAATGCATGCAAATGCACTTGCAAAATTTGCAATACTTGAATAAATAGCAAATAAAATTAATAAATTTCGCTTTAATTATTGTTCGTTTCTATCGTGATGACAATAGCTATATTTATAATTAAAATTCTAATTAAAAATTATAGAAATTATTAAATTCACTCTCTATAAGTTAATTTATCGAAGTTTTTTTTTTAAAAAAAGAAATTATTATTGCTAAGTAATATTTAAAGTTTAGGAATTTAACTGCTGTTTATTTCTATTAAAAAAAAAGAATAGAAAAAATAAAATTTCCTTTAACAATTAAAATTTTTACAAATTTAAATATATCTATGAGTACATTTAGTGCTACATTAAAAATTACTAATTAAAAGCGCATGCAAATGCACATGCAAATTTGCAACAATTCAATAAACTGCAAACGAAATTGATGAATTTCGTTTCAATTATTACTTATTTAAAAAAATTAAGAGAATTAAAAAGAATAAATGAACAAACTTCCCTCTAATATTTACAATTTTTATAAATTTAATAATTAAATACAAGTTTTTTTCTTCTTTCAAAAAATTTCTCACACATTTTTCTTTTCTTTTTTAAAAACTTTCTTAAACCTTTTTTTGAAAATAAAACTTACATTATCATTGTCATTTTTTTCTTTCCATTCGTTCATACAATAATTATTAGTTAATTAATTTAAATGATAATTTTAAATAATTTTTTTTAAAAAAAAAATTAAATTACCTCAGTGGAATTTGATGGAGTGCGATTAATTAACGGTGATGATGTGCCATTTTGCTGAACATCACGCTTTTTTAAAATTGATTTCATTGAATTTGTTGAGGAATTCAATTCTACATGTGCATTATCATTACCAATATTATTCTCCTATAATAGGAATAAATATTAAATTAATCATTTAAATATCATTTAGTGATAATAGTTTGATAATAATCAGTATTAATTAATAATTACATTTTTAATTGATAAAATTGAAATTTCTAATTGACAAGAAATGCTATAGATTTTTTATGTAAGCTAATACAAAGTATTCTCTTAATCAAAACTTTTTTTATTTCTTTTCTTTCGCCTTTTGTTATCTTACAAGGAAAAAAAGAAATTAAAAACAAATTTTGCAAAATTGAAATTTAAATTTTTATATTCCATTTTTTTTATTTATTAAGTAAAACTTAAAAAATTTTTCATGCACGAAGCAGTAATTATTAAAATTTATAACATTTTTTTTTTGTCTATGATAGACAAAATATAATTGTATTTAAAGTATAATTAATATAAAAATATATTTTTCAAAGAAATTTACATTAAATATTTTTGTAATTTGTTAATTTAAGACAATGCAAGATTAAATTCTACTACAAATATTCAAAAAAAGTATTGCAAAAGAAATGAAACGAATTTAAATTTAATTAACGATTTGTTACTTTTTAATAATTTTTTCAACAAAATTAATTTTTAAATTAATTTCGCTTTTTTCTTCAAAAAAAAAAAAATTCAATTTAATTAATTTAATGATATAGAAACTACAAAAAAAAAAAAAAAAAATTCATTTTGCATGGAAAAGAAAAAATGGCAGAAGTGTATGCAAATCATTGTCCTAATTTCAATTTTAATTTTAATTATTTCTCAAAGTCTGCAAAAAACAAATAAACAAACAAATACACTCATAAATATAAATATGCCTGATTTATCAACAAAATTTTCAGTGTTTTAATATCTTTTCAAGATATGAAAAAAAAAGAAAACATTTGAGAGGATTGAAAAAATTTTTTTTCCAAAATAATTTGTGTAATTTAACAAATTCAATAATAAAAAAATACACAAAACAAAATAAATAACAACAAACAACAATAACTACTATTGTTTAACATAATTTAACAAAAAATGTTCATTTTTTGTGATTTGGTTATTTAACTCAAAATTCAAATAAAAATTATTTGAATGTACGAAAAAAAAAAAACATTCCAATATATACGATGAATAGATTATATTACAATTGAAATATTATTGAAAATTTAAATCAGCCATTTTATTGGAATAAAAAAAAAGGGAAAAAAAAATAATATTATTCATACAAAACATTTGGAAAGATATGAAAGAGATTTTATATACAATTTTTAACATTTCAAATTTTATTCCGTTCATTGCCTTTTTTTTTTTTTTTTTAGAAAAAATTCCAATTTTTCTTTGTCAAATATTTCAAAAAAAAAAGAAACAGAGAAAGAGAGAGAGAGGAAGAGAAAAAAAATAATGTTTAAAATTCAATTAAATATTATTTTCTACAAATAATAACTACAGCATATATTACTAATGGAATTGTAGTGAAATTTAATTTTGTAAACAAATAAAAAGAAATGAAAGAATGCAAATCAATCAAAATGAATATTTGATAGTTGGAAATTTTATTTTAAATTAAAAATAAAACAGGTAGGAGAAAAAAGGAAATCTAATAGAAATTTATTTTTAAATTATTTTATTGGTACTAATCTTCTATTCTTATTTGTTTCTATGGAAGTAATCCTAAAGCAAATGCGAGAGGTATAAGTTATTTGGAAATAACGGGAAGAATTGAATGTATACGAGGTGAACAGACCGAGATATCTCAGTACCTGCACCAGGTAAATGTAATCTTCCTGTTACCAACTAGTAGAATTGCTACTCTAACTTTGTTATTCGAGGTGAAAATGTAAATAAACTAAAATGAAAAAAAAACTAAAATACAAAATATTTGAATAGCATTTCAATCGTTAATTTAACATTTTAATAACTTTTAATCGTTAATAAAAAAAGGAAAAAATTCGTTTTTTATTTTGAAAAGACATGGAATTTTATTAATGATTTATGAAATTATAATTATATAATAATATTATAAATAATATAATTAACTCAATAAATTTTAAGAATAATATTATTGAAATCTTTTTTTTAACTTTTTAAATACTTTTTTTCAGATTTTTTAAAATACTGTCTTAAAATTTTTTTTTTAAATATAATAAAAAATTAATTAAAACTAATTTTTATTTTGTTTAACATTAGAAAAAAGAGCTAAATAGAAAGAAAAAAAGAAACAAAACAAAACAAAGAAAAAACATATATGAAGTAAATGTGAAGAAAAAGTTAGAAGTACTACTTTTCTCTCTCCTTTTCCTTGTAAAACAAATGATAATGAATTGAAAAGAATAAATCGGATCGGATCGGATCGGATCGAATCAAATCAAATCGGATCGGATCGGCGGTATTGGAAAAAAGAAATTGATAACAAAGAGCAATGAAGAATGAAGGGAGAACGAAAAGGAAGGAATAATATCTGTTACGAATAATGTGCAAATAAATATTTCCAATTTGAAATGAAGAAAGAGGGAAAAGGCAAAAAGAAAAAAGAAAGCAACGACAGATGTTAACAATATGTTTTGCATAGACAATAACAATACTAGTAACAATAATAAAAGCAACGACAATAGCAAATAGCAATAACAATAGTAACACCAACAACAAATAGAAACAATAGCAATAGTAACAACAGTAGCAGCAGCAATAAAAATAGCAATAGCAGTAACAATAACGACTACAGCAACAACAGGAGCAACAACAAAAATAACAATAACAGCAACAACAATAGCAGTTAACAATAACGGTAAATAACAACCAATAGCGACAACAATAGTAGCAACAACAACAGTAACAGCATTAGCAGTAATAACAACAACAACGATAACAGTAGCAACAATAACAGTAAGAACAATAATAAGAACAACAACAATAACAATAATATCATTAAAATTTTTTGAAAATAGGAAGGAATGAATGAGCTGAGATAGCAATGAACCATCCATTCATCCATCGGTTGCTAGCAAATGAACTATTTCATTTGAAAATTTTTTTTAAATTTTAGCAAAAATTTTTCACTGTGAAAATTTAAAAAAAAAAAAAAAAAAGAAAGGAAAAATGATGAAAAGCTAAAGTGAATGAATGATAAGAGTTTAAGTTGATGAAAGAATGGAAAATATGTTATGTTTAAAAACTATTTTTGCTTTTTTTTTTTAAAAAAATTTTTTGTTTTTTTTTTTATTTTTCACCTTCAAATGAATATTTTGTGAAAAAAAAAAATGTAAAGCAATGGAAAGAGAAAATATATTTCGTTTCAATTAAAATATCTTAAACGATTGCGATTTATTTCATCCCTTCCTTCGTCTTTCTTTCTTTTCAAAACCAAAAAAAAAAACATATATATATCTTCTTTTGTGAAAAAAATTGTTATAAATGAATTAAATGTAATATTACTGCTTTTTTTCTTTCTTTTCTATTTTAAAAAAAAACTATCAATATTTTTAAAATAATTATGAAAAATTTAATTTATTAAAGTTAAAAGTTAGTTTACTTTTAAATTGTTATAAAGAAGTAAAAATAATATTTTGTTTTTGTTTTCTGTTTTTATTGAAATGTCCAATTAAATATATTTTAGTTAATTAAAATTAGTTAATTAAATCAACATATGCATTAAAAAAAAAAAAAAATTATGTTCATTACAGAAAATGTTGAATGAAAAATTTTTGATAATGACAATACGAGTAAACAGATAGTAATAACAGTGATAATAAGAAAAATATATATTTGATAATATTGCATATCATATGATAAGAAGTTGTTAAAAGTGATAAGCAAAATAATTTTTTACAAAAAAATAGCTCAAAATTTTCATTTCAAAAAGTGAAATAAAATTTTTTTCATGAACATTTAAAAAAAAGAAATAATAAATTTTTATTTTTATTTGCTAAAAGAAAAAGCAAAATTCTCGAACAAAACAAATGCATTAGCAGATAAAAGCTACATTAATCATTGAATATATTTTAAAAAGAAAACAAAACAAAGAGGAAGAAAAAAGTATTTAAGATGAATGTACAATTGATAAGCACTGATAAGGAAAGTGATGATGAATAACAAAATTAAAAATAAAATATTATTGTTTTTTTCAATTTTTTTTTTTTTTTTTTGTTGATAATATATCATTGATATAAGATTAAAATATGAATAAAAACTTACTTTTACAATATTTCTCAAATGGCTAAATTCGTTATCATCAAAATCACCGTTATCATGTTCAATGCTATCACTACGATTAATTTGATTTCGTTCACGTTGATATTGTGACTAGAAAAAAAGAAGGAAAACATTTTTGAACATTTTAAAATTATCACTGAAATATCAAATTTTCACTAAAATTTCAAATTAACATTTCGTTTCCAAAAAAAAAAAAAAAGATTTACTTTACTGGTAAAATTGATTAATATGGAAATATTAAAATTATCGTAGTCATATTAATTATTGTAAAAATTTTTAAATTCATCACCATTTATTATTTTTAAAGAAAAAAATTTACTTTTAAAATTTATTAAAGAAATTTTATCATATTTTTGTGATGAATAATATTAATGATTAAAATTGATTTTGAAAAAAAAAATGATAAGTATTACTTACTTCTTGAAATGGTGTCCTAATACGATATCGTCTTGAATATGGACTTGATGATGGACTTTGTGAACGAGGTCGTAATGGTGGTGTTGGTGGCTTATGTTTGACAATATCTGAAGGCCTAAAATTATTAATTTTATTTTTTTAAAAAAAAAAAGCATTTCAAAATTTTATACATTTCATAATTTACATTTTATATATTTATGTGCAAAAAAAAAAAAAAAAAAAAAACTTTACACTGAAAAAAAGAGTAAAAAAAATGCGAAAAATAAAAGATGCTGAAATAAAAAGTAAATTTTTCTATATTAATTACAATTAAAAATTAAATTTGAAAAAAATACGTTGGTAAAAAAGTTAGAAAAAAAAATTTAATCTACTAAAAGTAGCACTTTAAAATTATTTACAGTTAAAATTTTAAACTAAAAAAAAAAAAAACACGTAAGTACAAAGTAAAGAAAACAAAATACGTAAGTTAAAAAAGAAAAAAAAAAACGAAAACAATATTTGAGAAAAACAAAATAAAATTTTTGCATTACTTACAATCAAAAATCAGACTAAAGGTGAAAAACATAACGTTAAAGATAAAGTTAAAAAGGAAAAAAAAAAATAACTAATAAAAGTAAAACTGCTAAGTTGTTTACGAATGCTTACAATCAGATTAAAGAAAAAATAAATAAATAAAACACGCAAATACAAAATAAAAAAAAAAAAACTAATAAAAATAAAACTGCTAAATTGCTTACAAATGCTTACAATCAGACTAAAAAAAAAGTAAAAAATAGAAGTACAAAATAGAAAAAATAAAACTTTTTCATAGCTTACAATTACAAATTAAACCTGAAAAAAACAAAACACGTAGATTTACAAAGTTAAAGAACGAAAATAAAATAAGCAATAAAAGTAAAACTTCTAAATTGCTTACAATGCTTACAGTCAAACTAAAAAAGAAAAATTTAATAAAAAATAAAACTTTTTCATTGTTTACAATTAAAAATTAAACTTAAAAAATTGAAACACATAAATACATAAAATAAAAATTAAAAAAAAATATATAAAACAAAAATATACATAAACATAAAAAAATTTAAAAAGTTTTGAAATGAAAAAAAAAACTTACTTTGGTGGTAGAGCTGACGAATTGTTAAAATCTTTCATTTTTCGATTTGCATAATGAGTCATTTCATCAGTGATTCGATTATCATCATCGTTATCATGATATGGTGAACGTACGTTTTGTAAGCGTTCCTCTTCAATCCGATATTCAATTAATGGATCAACAGATTTACCATAGCTTTCTAAGCTATACGTACGTTCGTCATTTTCACGTTTTATTTGTCTATCATCATTTACGTGTTTTAATTCCTGTAAGATTTTTCTTTTGTTTATTTTATTTCTTATTAATTTAGTATTTGAATTTTTCCTTTCTTTTTACACAACTTTATGTATATAAATTTTGTTTTATTTTATTAAATATTTATTTAAAAAAAATTTTTTTTTGTATAAAAATTATTCAAATATTTTTGTTAACGCAGACAAAAGATGTTTAATTATTTTGAAATTTTTAAGACTAAATTAATTATACTTAAATATTTTTTTACTGAAAATAAAAATATATAAATTAAAAAATATTTGTAGTAAAACTTTTAAAAATACTTTTGCTCGAAAAAAAAAAATTTTCATTCAATAATATTTTTTTCCCACTTCTTTTTCTATTTTTTTCTTTGATTTGAACAAAATTTGTACTTTAAAAGAAAACGCATAGTAGCAAAAAAGAAAAGAGAAGAAAAATCATATTTCATACTTTAATTTAAATTTATTTTCAATTTTTAAATTTTTAAAAAGTTTTGATTGATAAATTGCTGATCAGTGGATTTGTACAATAATTTATTGATCGACACATTATTGATTCGAAAAATTGTGTTCACTGATCGCTATATTATTGATTCGATAAATTTGTAGAACAAATAAGATCAATTTTCAATTGTTGATCAAGAAATTGCTGATCGATTAATTTGTACAATAAATTATTGATCGATAAAGTATTAAATCGGCAAATTTGTGCAATAAATAAAATAGTTTTTAAAAAAAAATTTAGCAAAAAAACTTGAAATAAATTTTTCATGGAATTTTTCTTTTTTTTTCTTAAAAAAAACCTCAAGGAGTAATTTCTCTTGTCGTTTTCGTCGTAACATTTCCGGATTGTTTTCTCGTTTTGCTTTCAATTTTTTCAATTGAAATTTCAACCAATCATCGGCATTTTCAGCATCTGTCAATGAATCATAACGATTGTGAGCAAACAATCGATTATCGGAAGATTCACTGAAAAATATTAATGAATTTATTAATTTTAATTTAAATCAAAGTAATTCTAATAATTTATTTTTGATGAATAATTTGACAAAAAAAAAAGAAAAGAAATCAAAAATATTTCTTTTCTTTTTTAAAAAATATTCAACTAAATATTAAAATTAAAAAAGAAATTATAATTAGAAAAGAAATTATTATTTCTTTTTTTTGATAAATTATATAATTATAAAAATTACTAATCTTTCTTTTTTACTTTTTATTATTGCATTTTTTGTGCAAAAAAAAAAAAAAATTTGTTTACTTATGAATGTGTTTATTTACCGATAAAACGGAGCGGAAGTAGCAGAGCGACAATTACGCATTCGAAATGCTTCTCGATTCTGATTTACATTGTTAAGCGAAATTGTTGGTTTCGATGATAAGAAATAGTCATCAAAATTTGATTGATTTCTAAAAGGGAAAGAAAAAGAATAAAAAATTTTCTTTTTACTACTAAAATTAAAATTTCTTCATTTTATCTTTTTTTAATAGCAAAAATGGAAAATAGCTGTAATACATAGCTTACATTTTTTATTTGAATTCATTTTGAAATCAAATTTGAATTTCTAATTGAAAATAGAAAAAATAAAACTAAGCTAATTCTTCTCAACAAAAAAAAAAAAGAATAAAAGAAATAATTTAATTTTCTATCATTTATAAAAACAGAATGGAAATAATGCAAATTTAGTTTGCAGTAATTTTTTAAACAAAATTTTAAATTCAGATTAAGAGAAAAAAAAGGCAGAAGGAAATCTTAAATATTGTTGCAACCAAAATTATAAAAATTAGGTAAAAAATAAATTTATTTTTGTTTACTTTTTGTTTATTTAATTTCTTTTTTTTTAGGTAAATTTATTTGATTTAATCAAAAATTAATTTTTTTTTTTTATTTCATTGTTTATTTATTTATACTTTTTCTTTCTTTTTTTAAAAATACTTCATTACTTCTGCATTCGTTTTATCGGTAAGCAATTTTTTTTAAACATTTTTTTGCAAACTAAAAATTTCATTTCATTTTCAAAAAAAAAAAAACTAACTTAAATTTATAATCAATCTTCCCACTATTCATTTGTAATGTTAAAAGAAAAAAAAATTAACTTAAAATAAAATATATAATTTGTAGCAAAATTTCTTTCTTATAATAATATTTAAATTAAATGAGAAAGAAAATAAATTAATGAATGAGTAATTAATTATTTAGATCAAATATTTGTTCTAATTATAACTAATTGTAGTTATAACCTAATTTACTGCTTTATGAAATTTTTAAAAAAGTGAAAAAAATCATAGAAGTAATTGAATTTGATCAAAAAATACTACTTAATATTGTTGTTTATATTAGCATAATTTAGCAATAAAAGCATGCTTAGATGGTTACTGCATCGTGCATTTGCATCGTGCGTTTGCATCGCGCATTTGCACGAATGCAATTTTTAATGCTTGCTAATATAAACTAAAATAAATTTAAAATCAAATAGGAAATCATAAATGCCAACATTATATCATATATTACTATTGATAAATTTTCAATTGAATATTTTAATTCATATGAAAAAAAAAGACAAAAAAACTTTTCAACTTACAATTTAAATTAATAAATCATTTTTCATCTTTTAGCTATTTGATAAAATTTTATTATTATTTATTTATTATTAAAATTTAAAAGTTAACATTACTGAAAGTAACAAAATAGAATATTTATAAGTCATATATGTATATATTCATGCATTAAAATTCAGTAAAATTATTTCGATAATTTTAGTATCGATTAGTCAATAAAGAATTAAATTAAATTTGATAGGAATTAATTAATATTTTGATATCAAATAGTTATAAAAAGTAGTTGTTAGGAATTAATTCAACACAAAATATCAAAACATTCCTTATTCTCTTTTTTTCTAATACTTCAATCCTTGTTTTTGGTTAATATTAGTATTATACAAATTACTAAATAATTCGATATCGAATACTTTTGCAGTAATTAAAATTATTTTTTCAAATACTAAATTTATTTTATTCATTATTTATAGGAAAAATTTGCCCTTTTTTTTGCTTTTAATATTTTAATTCTTTAAATTTCTAATAATTTCAAACTTCCAATTTTTAATTGTTAATTAATTTTTTTAAAAAATAAATATATAATTGAGAGTGGAAAATATTAGATAGTAAAACTTACTGATAGATTTTATTTTTTCCCGATATTCCGTTACTTTTCAAATTAGGTTCGTTCATTTTTGCTACTGCATCATCCGTTGTTGTTGTTGTTGTTGTTGCTGCTGCTGTTATTGTTGTAGCTGCTGTTATTGTTGTGTTATTTGTAAGACAATTTTGATTCATATTTTTATTATCAAATTAATTTTTATCATCTTCTCTATTTAAATAAACAATTGTCTTAATTATCAAATTCATTCTTATCATTTTCCCTATTTAGATAATTAATTGTTTTACCTGTTTTATCAATTGCATTATTTCTAATCGGTACTGTTGCTTGTGATGTATAAGTAAGATAGAAATCTGGATCGCAAAGATCATCCAAATCACTGCTAAATTAAAAATTAAATTAAATTTTTAAAAAAGAGAAAGAAAAAAGGAACTAAAAATAAAATGGAAGATTTTTACTCTAAAAAGAAGAATCAATGCATAGATGATAAAATGAAAAAATACATTTTTTTTTTTGATAAATATATGATAACTATAAAAAGAAAGGAGAACAAAAAAAAAAAAAAAAATGATTGAGCAATAAATAAAAGTCTTATTTTAAAAAAGAAAAATAATGGAATAAGAAATGAAATATTTATTCTAAAAAAGAAAAGAAATGAAATATTTATTCTAAAAAAGAAAAGAAATGAAATATTTATTCTAAAAAAGAAAAGAAATGAAAGAAAAGAAATGAAATATTTATTCTAAAAAAGAAAAGAAATGAAATATTTATTCTAAAAAAGAAAAGAAATGAAATATTTATTCTAAAAAAGAAAAGAAAAGAAATATTTATTTTAAAAAAGAAGAAAAAATGATAAAACAAGAAATGAATTACTTATTTAAAAGAAAAAAAAAAAGGAAGGAAACATACTTATAAGCATCATCATTTAATGTTTTATATGAATCATATTTTGTTTTTCTTCGTTTTGACACATGCTTTGCTTGCTCCACAATCTATTAAAAAAAGGTGAGAAAAAAAAATAAAATTAAATATTAAATAAAAATTCAAATTTAATCATTTTTGTTATTCTTTTAAGTTAAATATTAAAGTTATACGTAGTGTAACATTGCAATATCAAAAATTACAATTTAAATGTAAATATATTAAGCAATTTAAATTAACAATTTAATTTGAAAAAAGGAAAAATTTAATTTTTAACAAATTTTCTTTTTTTGGAAAAAAGTTTTAATATTTAATTTTATTCATTCATTGAAATATTATTATATTTGTGATAAATTATGCTAATAGTTATAACTGTTCAAGTTGAAATATTTAATAAATAAGTGAAAGAAAGAAAGAAACGTACGATAGGTTTCTCTTCATCATTTACCGGATAATTTAATTTTGATAATTCCGTTTTTGGTGTTGAATTTGCAATCGGTCCATTTCCGGTACGATTGAAATCAGTTGGCGTAACACTCATATCTGTTATTCTATTATTATCACCGAAAAAAATACCGTTCGTTATCTGAAAAAAAAAAACGTAGAAAAAAATGCCAACAAAAATAAGCAAATAAAGAATTTTAAATTTAAATTTAAAACTTAAACAAAGTTTTATAAAATACAAAAATCAGAAAAAAAAATTTAAACGGAAAAGAAGATGAAATATTAAACAATTGAAAAAAAATATATATATGTATATAAGGAAAAGAGAAATTGTCTTTAAATATATTTTTATCAAGAAATAAAATAAATTTATTGATAAAATTCTCAATTTAAATTCTAAACTTAGAAAAAAATTTACAAAATCTGAAAAGTTTCAACAAAAATAAGTGTAGTTAGTAAAATATTGAAAAAATAAAATAATTTTATAATATTAAGTCTACAAAAAAAAAATAAATTTCGGTTAAATATTAATTTACCAATAAGTAAAAATTTTATTTTTCTATTTATTTCAATAAGATTGAATTCATCAAAACTTAGTAATAGCTAAGAAATTAATTAAAAACTAAAAATTATGGCTAATTTTTTATTAAAAAAAGATTTTTAATAAATTTCAAAAAAAAAAAGAAAGAAAAAAACAAAAAGTGGAAAAATAAGGAAATAAGACTATAACATTGGTTAAAAATATTTGAAAGAATGAAGCAATAAGTGTAGTTGTTGTTGTTAAAAAAAAAATGATTGTTTCGGTTTTTTTTTTTTTTTTTAAATTCTTTTCTTTTACTTTTTTTTTTTGAGTTTTTTTTTTTTTTAACAAAAATTTTCAAACTAATTGTGTGGAAAAGTTTCGAACAGAAATGTTTTTTTTTTTTCTTCGTTTTGAAAAATTACCCTTTTGAGATTAATATTTTTATTTTCTTTTTTTTTTCTTTCTTTCGAATTCTATCTAAATTTTCTTTTTTGTAAATTTTTTTTTTTTGAAATGAAAATACTTTGAGCAATAAAAAATATATGAATATTTAGCAATTTATAAAAATTTTAATTTAAATGGAAAAAATTTTGATAAAACAATAAATTTTCATAAAATGAACGATTTAATAGAATGTAGAAAGTTTTTTTCTATTTTAAAACTAACAAAAATGCAATTATTTTTTTTTTCTTATAAAATTTAAATTAAATTTTTATTCAAAATAGTTAAATTTTGTTTTTTCTATTCTTTTTCTTTCTTTTTAATATTATTTTTTATTTACTGAAAAAAAAAGTTTCCAACATTTTATTAAACTGAAAAAGTGAAAAAAAAAAAAGAACTTTCGGTTCATTTTTCTTTTGTGTTTCATTGGAAAAAATTGATTTGAAAATACTTTGTTCAAAAAAAAAAAAAAAAATTGCTTCAATTTTTTCTTCGTTTTACTTCAAAAAAAAGGAAAAAATGACTTTAATTTAAATTGAAGCTCAAAAGAAATTTTATTTTTATGTCAAATGCATAAAATTATAAAAACTTATTTAATAAAAAAAAAAAAAAAAATTTTGAAAATATTTTGTTCATTTTTTACATATTTTAATTATTATTTTTTAGATAATTTCATTTTTCTTTTTTTAAAAAATAGATTTCATAAATGGCAAAATTTTACAAAATATTGTTGCAATTCAGTTTTATTCCTATTATTGTTGCATTATAATTTCATTTCAAATTCATAAAAACTAAGTGGTAGTTTCAATTTTTTTTATTTTTAATTAATTTGAAAAAAAAAGAATAACAAAATTAAATAATAAAAATCATAATGAAAACAGGGTAAAGAAAAATAATTAATGAATTTAATATGTCACATATAAATTTATATAATTTAATGAATAATTTAATGACAACTGCGCTTTATATTTTATCATAATCTAAACAATATTTAATATTTAATAATTTTGCTTTCAATTTTTAAAATAATATGTTATTATACTAAAACATTTTTCAGGAAGCAAAAATCAAATTACAATTTGAAATTAACTGAATAAATGTACTGTATCTTATTATTATTATAATTATAATAATAATTATTATTATAACTATCATTGTTTAATATGCGTAAAATTTTATATGCTCTATTTTTCAAAATAAAATTTATTTTAACTTATTTTATTTTCTTCTCTTGATTTACAATTTCAAATTAAATAAATAAATTACTGATATGTTAATATAATAGTTTTATACATGAATTTATTATGCAAAATATATATTAATTCAAAGTTAATTAAAATTGAAGTTAATTAATTAAATGTTTTTTTTTTTTTTGAAAAATAATATTTCTGTAGATATTTTCCAATTTAAATACTTTCTAACTATATTTTATCAATTAAAATATGACAAATTTCAAATTAATATAAATTAATTGAAAGTATAAAAATAAAAATTACAAATTATTATTACTGCAATATTGTTTTAACATTTTATTACTTTTTATTTCTAAATAATTTTAGTAATTTACCTTTTCAATATCATCTTCCCATTTTGGTGTTTCAGGTAATCGTTGCAAATCGGTTGATTTGACTGGTACCATTGCAATTTCAGATGCTGACGGTGAAATATTTAATGCTGCTGTAGCTGTTTCATCAATTTTAAGACGTTGTGGCTTTCGTGGCGCCGTAAAATGTTCACTGAGAGCTCGAGCTGGTACATAAGAGAAGCATTTACTAGCTGGGTCATATCTGTAAATTAATTAAAAATTAATTTAAAAAATATATTTTACTAAAAACAAAGATAAAAAAGGAAGAAATCAATAAAAAAAAATTAATTTTGTATTATTAATTCGACTATATGCAATTGAATAAATTTATTAATTATAAATAAATAAATTATAGCAAAACCTAATTAAAATAATACAAAATTTCATTCGATACTTCTTACTTTATTTTCTAGAAAAATCAAACAAAAATTTTAGAAAAAAATAAAGTTAAAAAAATTAATTTAAATAATTAAACAAAAATAAAAATTTTAAACAATTTAAAAAAAAAAGCAAAAATGAAAATTAGAAATGGGAAGATTTTGCTCCATTTTTCTTTCATTTGCTTTAAAATTTTTTCAATTTAATTTTTTTCGTAAAAAAATTTTTTTCATTTTCATCATTCAATTATTATTATTATTATTATTTCTTCTACTATCTTTTACCATCAATTACCATTATCATTTTTTTACAAATTCTTTTTTTCATTTTTATCCTTCAATTACAATATTTTCTTCTTCATAGTTAACACTAATTGTTTATATTTAACTTTCAAGAAATTACTTTAATCTTAGTTTGTGCACAGAATAAAAGTATTAAATTAAATTATGCTAATTCTCCGATTCTTATTTTCTGATCGATTAAAATTATTAAGCTAAACAAGTTTTGTTGATAAGCAAAAAAAAAAAAGTTAATCTTATTTGATATTTGTGAAATTATTGAGAGAATGTAAATGAATAAATAATGTCAGAGAGAAATAAACAATAAACAAATCATTTCTCAAATAAAAAAGTAAACAAAAATCATTAATATCGCAGTGAATTAAGGATTAAGAAAGCTTAAGATAAATGGCAGATACAAAATGCTACAATCTTCTTAAAATTTTACCCGAGGAAATTATTTGAATATTAATTCTGGGGAAATTACTTCAATATTAGTTCAGGAGAAATTATTTGAATATTATTTATTTAACTATACTATTATAATTATATTTTATATAATTATACAATATTAAAATTTTACTCGGAGAGATTATTTGAGATAATAATTGTGTTCTACTATCTAACTTTTTTTTTAAACTTTATTTAACTTTCTTAAGAAAAAATTTTTATTGGGGAAATTATTTGAAATAATTAACACAGGTTAATGATTGTGTTTTAACCTTAACTACTACAATTAATTAATTTAACTATTTAACTATTTTTTAAATTTTATCTAACTATACTTTTTAATTATTTATCTATGCTATTAACTGAACTATTAAACTATAATATGTTTTAACCTTAACTATTACAATTAATTGTTTACTATTATCAGTGCTATCCAAACTCTCAAATTAATACTAATTTCAATCCTGAAAAATTTTGAAAAATAATTGAGAAAATGAAGATAAAGTTAATGATATAAACTTTATTATTATCTAATTTAACAATTATTTGTGTAATTTCAGATGACAATAAAATCTTTTTGTGTGTTGAAAATTAATTTTAACAAACATATGCCATTTTTATACAAAAAAAAAAACTTTTACTAACGTTACGAATGTTTTGTTTTGTTATTTTTCCCTTTCAAAATTGAAAACAACAAACAAAATAAATTTAATTAAAAAAAAAATTTGTTTTACCTATCTTTTGCAACTAAATCAGGCTCAATACCACGTGGTGTTGCTGCGTGCTGCTCGTCTACAGGACTTGCTACACGTACGCTTAAATTTGATCGAACGGACGCTGGAAGTACCGAATGAGCGCGTGTTATTACCTGTTCATTTCCCCTAAATATTAATTTTATTTTATTTTTATTTTTTTGCATATATTGCTATAAATAAATAATTACAAATTAATAGAATTTATCCTTTCTTTTTTAAATTTATGCATTTTTTTTTATTTTCCAATTTTAATTCATAAAAATTTTTTTACAATTATATTCTACGCAATGAATAAAAATTTAACTAACCAATTTTTAAGATAAATAAATTTAGTAAATAATAAAAAATATTGTAACAATTAATAAAGTAAATAATAATATAATAACAATTAACACTGGAAGACTATCCTAATATTACAATACATATAGGTTATTTTCACGTAAAAAGTACGTAAAATCATTCATAAGTGAAAAACACGCTAACAATATTTTTTTATTTATATTACTAAATTAATTGAATAGTTTCAACAACAAAAAAAAAAAGCTTTTGAAATTAGATGAAAACATTTCGATTGCTTTTCATAAAGTGAAAAAATAAATTCACACTACTAAATTCTTTTTTTTTTTTTTTTTTGTAAAGAAATGCAAACTTTTATAAAACTACGAAATTAATAAAATTAATACATTACAATAGCAGAATTTTAATAATACTAAATCACAAAATTAAGAAAATTATTTCAATAGATTATAATGTGCTAATCAATTAATTAATTAGCATGCTAATTAGCATCTATGACAAACTCTTAATGATACAACAAACCATTTTTCTGTTAGCAAAAGACAAAAAGGACAGGTAAACTTACCTTGTTTGTTCTGAGTAGTAATGATCAGTGCTAGCATTCATTCTTTCTTCCAGGTTGATACGTGGCTTTGGTGGTGGCAGCGGTGGCATGCCACTTTTTTCCTATAATAATTAATGATAATTTAATTTCAGGTGTAACCCAATTTAATTTTAGTTGTAAGAAAAAAAAAACTTTTTTTTTTAATTAAATGAATTAACAAATTAATCATTTAAGACTGATTAAAACCAGAAAATTATAATTGTTAAAAGTAATAATGGTGAATAAATTGGATGAATTTTAAATAGTAAAAAATTAAAGAAGCAATTTTAAACTATTATTTTAGTTTAAGTGCGATTATTAAATTATAATTTTTATTAATTGCAAAAAAAAAAAATTCATTCAAATTTATATTTTCTTTTTCTTGAAATTATAATTAGACATTATGTTCAGATAAAATTATCATTACTTATTCATTCCTATTTTATAATTTTATCATTTTTTGTTATCATTATCATATTTTGTCATATCATTATTTAATTCTATCACTTAATTATATTAGTTAAAAAAATATTTTAGCATTCATACGACCCTAATTAAACAGATGAAATCTAATAAGTGTGACTTCTAACAATAAATTATCATTTTTATTAAATAAGAAAAAGTTTCACATAAATTTATACTTAAATAATTTTATTTTTATCATTATTTAATTGTCTAAAAAAATAGTTTTAAAAAAGTATCATTGATAGCTACTTGTGCTTTGATTAAAAATTTTAATGGATGATAATCATTTTATAAAAGTTCTAATTATTAAATCGTAATAAAGAAAAAACATAATTAATTAATTGGATAAAATTTAAATGAACATAAAAGTTGCCATCCTGTCGTAGTATTATAAATTCGAAATTAAAAATAAAATGTTAAATTATTAATATAGATGAAAATTTTCAAAATAAAATCTGCCTAAGCAATTTTTTTTTTAAAATTTCTTTCACAAATCTTGAATAGTTCATTGGACCAGTAAATAATTTAAATGCAAAAAAAAAAAAACGAAAATGAAACAAATAATAAAATTTCAATCAATAATTAGTTTATTTACTTTTTTCTGCAGTTTTTTTACACTTTATTTTTTAAAAAAAATGTAAGGTAAGAAAAAAAGAAACGACATTTAACAATTTTAATTTAATTTGTAATATTTTTATTGTAGATGCAATTTGAATTTCATTCTTTTTTTTTTGCAAACAATAAAGTAAAAAGAGTATATTAGAATTTTGATTTATAAAATAACCTAAAAATTTAATCTTAATAATATGCGAGAAAAATTAAATAAAAATTAATTAAAAAAAAACAGAGTGAAGGCATAAAAACATATATGAATAAAAGACAGAAGGAAATATAATAAATTATTTAAGTTTGATCAGAATTAATACTAAAATAAGTTTTCAAAAAAAAAAAAAAAAAGAAGAGAAAAAGAGTAAATTAGTGTCGTATTGAAAAAGATTGATGAATTTATTAGCCTTGCAAAGCAGATGCTTATTAAATCAGTTTTTAAAAATTTATTCTATTAGATTTCATCCACCCACAAAACTTACAAATCTGTTTGTGAACAAAAAAAAAAGGAAAAACTTTCAATATTTTCAAATTTTTTTTCAAAAAATTGCTTTAAATTTTTGATTTTTTTGAAAAAAAAGTTTTAAATTTGATCTAAAAATAACTTTGTGTTTAATTTGAAAAAAAAAGTTTGAGATTCAATTTGAAAATAATCTTAATTTTGATTTCAAAAAAATTTTAACTTTAATCACAAATTTTTTGAAAAAAAAAAACTTTTTTTCTTACATATGTAAAATTTGATGCAATTTGAAATTAATAACAAATTATTGCTCTATTGTAAATGAATATTTCTTTTCCTAATTTCTGGCCTATTTTAACTGGGAAAGCATTAGCATTAAATTTAATAAGCAGCCAAGAAAGTGAGGCCAAATAATTGCAATGAAATGTTAGAGACTATCATTTTTACTGGGCTAAAAGTCACCAGGCATAATCAATTTGAAAAGAGGAAGGAAAAAAAGGACAAAAGAGTGTCATTATTCACTTTATTTCGTTTTTTGTCAATTTTAGAATTTATATGCAACAAGTAACCAAGTAACCGTGAAATCAAAATGGATAATAATAGCTTTTAGATTAGCCTAGAAAAAAAAAAAGAATAGCCTAGTTGATCATGGAGCCTAGTTGACCATGGATCATAATATTCTAGCAATTGCCTAGTTGATAATGATGTTAACAATTGCTTAACTAATAACTGATAGCAATGATAACAATTGCCAATGTTAATAATATGGTCACAACAGATAATGATAACGATGTTAATAATGCCTAGATAACGAAAATTAATAACGAAAATTTTTAGTTGATAATGAATAATAATGCTAATAATTTAGATGATAATGGAACGCAATGTTAGCAGTTGTCTAGCTGATAATGATAATAACAATTGTTTAATTAGTAACAGATAACAATGATAATAATTATCCTAGCTGATTGACAGATAACAAAGTTAATAATCTAATTGATAACATATAATAATGTTCTAGTTGTCAACAATAACAAAAATGTCTATTTGATAACGAATAATAATACTACTAATCTAGTTGATAGCGATGATAATAAGTGATTTGATCAAAATATTTAAAAAGAGAATTTCCTAAAATCAATAAATAGTAAAATTAAAAAAATGAAATTTGATATGTTAGTATATTTAAGTTTTACAATGCTTATGAGATATTATATGATAACAAATCGATATCATCGTCTAAGTTACTACTTTTAGTACAAATCATCTAAATATTCTGATAACAAGCAACAATAATATATGATAATATCAAGAATAAAATCACTTTTTCCTCAAATTGAAGTGATAATGATATGATCACAAGTAGAAATTATTATTTTATTTTTAATTCAACGAAAAACAAAAGGAAAAAATTACTAATTTGAAGAAAATATTAATAAACAATTAAAATAAACAAACAAACAAACAAAAAGGAAAAAACAAAAAAGGAAAGTGATAATTCAAAATAAAATCTTGCAAAAAAAAAAAAAAATTGTGAGAAATAATACCCATAAACTTTTTATATGAATTTCATTTATTTCATCAAAAAATAAATTAAAATGAATTTCATTTATTAATTAATTAGCTAACCTAGCTAATTAGTTAAATCAGTATAAAGTGAGAATTTCATTTGAGTTTTATTTTAATTCGAAAAAAATCTCAGACAAAAACAACAACTGACGGTTGACACAAATGAATTTAATGAATTTCGTTGTGTTGCAATAACAAATGGTTAAAATGAACAATGCAAAAATTATGTGTGATTTTCTTTTTTTTTTTTTTTTTGTTGTTGTCTTTAAATATTTCAAAAATTTTTAATTAAATTGCAAAAAACGAAAAAAAAAAGATATTATGTTGACAAATAAATAATTTTAACATTAGTATAGTGGGTTAAAAAATAATTTATATTTTTATTTATTCATAATAATTTTTTGTGTGATTTTATTTTATCCTTAAGTTATAATTGAGACTAAAATTAAAATTTAACCTTTGACCTTGCATTATATTTTATCATTCATTTTCAAGAAAATGACAAGAAGAAATACTGATAACATATGATAATCTTTTTTACTCATGTAAATTATATAAAATAATTTTTTGTATGATTTTATTTTATCCTTAAGTTATGATTGAGACTAAAATTAAAATTTAACCTTTGACCTTGCATTATATTTTATCATTCATTTTCAAGAAAATGACAAGAAGAAATACTGATAACATATGATAATCTTTTTACTCATGTAAATTATATCAAATGTCAAAAAATGTAAGAAATTTTTTACAAATTAAAGATAGCAAAAAGAATAAAAACTTAAAACTGAAATCATAAAAATAAAAATTTGACGAAATTATAAAAAGTAATGATTTAGGCAAATTCTACATCAAATCATTTTTTTTTTGATTAAATTTTAAATTTCTCTAAATCAATTTTCATCCCTGTGAAATTTGAAGAAATAAGCTAAGCATATTAGCCTTGCTTAAACAAATTTGCTAAATTTTTGATTTCATTATTATAAATTTATTTCTATAAAATTATTTTAATTAATTTGATTTGCAAAAAAAAAACAAAAGAAAAAAAAGCACTTATTTATATTTAATGTATTATCTAAAAGTACAAATAGTAAAAGTATAAATATATATTACATAAAATAAATGTTGCAATTAACTAATTTAATTAATTAACACTTTTAATAATTTTGAAAATTTTAACGATTTCTCTTTTAAGCAATTAATTATGTCGCAATTAAAATTTATATTTTAAATACATCCATTCAAATATGATTGTAAGTGTCACAATAATGGCAAATAATAATGACAATTTTCAATTGATATTAAATTTAAAATTTAACAAATTTAAATTTTAGCAAAAATTTCACAAGAATAATGAAATGATTCTTTTTTCTATTATTTAATTATTCTTATCATTTGCAATATTATTGTTATTATAATGATAATGATCATTCTTATCTAATTACTCTTATCATTTACAATATTTTTTTGTTCATTATAGTGATAATGATATTCGGTAGTTATAATTTCCGGAAACAATTAAATCTTCTTTTTGATCTTTTTTTTCGTAACTAAAAGTTTAGCAGAATTTTTGTCAAAAAAAATAAATTTTATGAAAAATAAAATCAAATTCTTATCAAATAAATCATAAAACGATATGTAAAAATATAATTTTATATATTGTATTTTTCAAAAAAAAAAAACAACACTGAAACATATTTCTATTTATTATATTAAAATTTTTCAATAAAAGTTTTTTTTATATTTTTTTCATTTTTAAAACAAAATTCAACCATTTTTAAAGAATTTAAATTTATTCCAATTTATAAACAATTAACTTGTAATTACTGCTAATTTTTTTTTTTTTTTTTTGTAAGAAATAAAATTAAAATTTAGCAAAAATGAAGATGAGAAAAGAAAGAGAGAAAAAAAAACTAACTGATGAAGAAATGCAACAAATCATCATTATCATTCATTATCAGTCATTATCATTTATCACCTCCT